GCAATGTTATCTGAGGGCTAACAGATTCAATCCACTGCCACAAGAGCCCACGTTATCTAGCAGGGGACTAAGGAACATACAATGGGGCAAAGGAGGTGTGGCAGTGGGCACCTGACCATGGAATCCACTGGCCGTGGCACATAGGGCACTGCCTAGAGGGTGGTAGCCTGACACAGTGATAGAACAGCCTTTTAAAGGTACAGCTGAGTTACTAGCTTGTAGCAGTAGCCTATGAGGATGGGGTGCCATCCTCCAGGGCGCAGCATACATTCTAAATCATTGACCTTTATGAGGCGCTGTGTTCTCAATAGGTAGAATACATGGGTCCAAGGATCGAGGGGTAGAAGTATGGGAGGCCCTACTTACCACGACTCCAAATGACCCAGCTTGAGGAATTTGTGCAACCAAACCCTGGAACTCCAAGCAATGTGGGTTGAGACATCCTGGTTCCCGGAGGCAGAACGCTGCTACCAGAAGACTCAGCAAGAGTCCCACTGAGATACAAGCTATGGTTTGTTCCTGATCACTCTGGGATCCTCATGTCAACAGATCAGCAAGAAAATAAGTCACCATCCCAATGGGAGTATCTGCCCCTATCATCTGGAAGAGGTAGGACTTTCATTACACACAAGGGCAGGGAAAAATACATTTGGCCTCTTAGTGGGAATCCACTGAGGGCTTCTTTTGAGAGCTCCTTGGTTCTGTGCTGGCTTTACGGAAGTAAAATTTACATACAAGAAAATTCACTATTTTTAAGTGACCTATTTTGTGTTTTCACAAAGACATATAGTAACGTAACCACTACCACAATCACATTACAGAACATTGCCACATCTTCGCCAAAAGTTTCCCTGTACCTCTTTGCAGTCAAATTTCTCCTCCTACCCCAGCCTCTGGCAACCACTGATGCGTTTTCTATCACTATGGTTTTGCCTGTCCTAGAATTTCATATAAATGGAATTATACAATATGTAGTTGTTTGTGTCTGACTTCTTTCACTTAGCATAAAGCTTTTGAGATTCATCCATATTGTTGCCTGTAGCAGTAATTTGTTCCTTTTCACTGCTGAGTACTATTCCATTGTATGGATATACCACAATTAGTTTTTCCATTCACCAGTTGCTGGACATTTGCATTATTTCCAGTTTGGGGCTGTTATGAATGACGCTGTCATGAACATTATGTACAAGCCTTTATATGGACAAATACGTTCTTCTCTTTTGAGCAAATGCCAAGGAGTGGAATTGCTGGGTTGTATGGTAAATCTATGCTTAAGTTTATAAGAACTTCCAAACTGGTTTCTGAAGTGGCTGGACCGTGTTGCATTCCCACCAGCAGGGCATAAGAGTTTCAGTTGCTCCACATCCTTGTCAACACTTGATATTTTCAGTCTTTTTAATTTTAGTTATTATAGTGGATATAGTGGCATCTCATTGTGGTTTCAATTTGCATTTCCCTAATGACCAATGATATTATTTGATATATATATGTGTTTGTGTGTGTGTGTGTATATATATATATGTAAAATCCTTGATGAAGGGTCTTATTTGCGACCCATAAATATTCTTTGGTGAAGTGTCTTTTGGAATATTTTGCCAACTTTTTACTGGATTTTCGTCTTCATCTAAGTGAGTTGTAAGAGTTCTTTATATATTACATGTACAAGTCCCTTGATGGATATATGTTTCACAAATATTTTCTCTCAGTCTTGACATCTCATTTTATCATCGGTGTTATTCAAGAAGAAAACATTTTGAATTTTAATGAAGTCCAATTTATTAATTATTTTCTTTTAGAGTTCATTCCATTTTGTGGAGTCAAGAAATCTTTTCGTAACTCAAAGTCACTAAAATTTTCTTCTATTTTTTTTTTTTTTTTAGGTTATTATAGTTTTAGCTCTTATATTTAGGTTTATGGTTCTTTTACAGTTAATTTGTTTAATATGGGAAGCATTTCTTCATCTGTTATTTCCTGGAAGATTTTGTGTAGAATTGACAGTATATTTTCCTTAAATGTTAGGTAGAATGCACCAGTGAAGCCATTTTGGCCTAGACTTTTCTTGTGGTAAAGCTTTTTTTTTTTCTTCTTAAGATTGGCACCTGGGCTAACAGCTGTTGCCAATCTTCCTTTTTTTTTTTTTAAGGATTGGCACCTGGGCTAACAACTGTTGCCAATCTTTTTTCCTTTTTTTTTTTCCCTCTGCTTTATGTCCCCAAACCCCCCCTGTACAGAGTTGTATATCTTAGCTGCAGATCCTTCTGGTTGTGGGATGTGGGACGCTGCCTCAACATGGCCTGACGAGTGGTGCCATGTCTGCGCCCAGGATCCGAATCCTGGGGCCGCTACAGTGGAGAGCGCGAACTTAACCACTCGGCCACGGAGCCGGCCCAGAAAAGCTTTTTAAAAAAAAAAACAAAACTAAAGTCCGTATTTTATTCAGAGTTCTTTAGTTTTAACCTAATGTCCTTTTTCTGTTCCAGAATCTTATCCAGGGTACCACATTACACTTAGTCACCATATCTCCTTAGGCCCTTCTTGGTTGTGATGGTTTCTCAGACTTTCCTTGTTTTTGTTGACTTTGACAGTTTTGAGAAACACTGGCCAGATATTTGGTAGAATATCCCTCAACTGGGATTTACCTGATGTTTTTCTCATGATTAGGTTGGGGTAATGGGTTTGGGGAAGGCAGACCACATACAGATCAGTTATGGCAATAATTATCAATGGTTTAAGTTCCCCTAATGAAAAGGCAGAGACTCAGAATGGGGTAAAAATGAGAGTTAAATTACAGCTTGCTTACAGGAGACTCACCTAAAACAAAATGACCCCAAAAGGTTGAAAATGAATGGGGTGGCCAATGCAAATGTGAAATAAAAAGATAGCATTAATCTCAGACAAAGCAAAAACTTTTACTCAATGGCAAAGACACTGGCCCTTAGGAAGTACTCAAAACCCGCCTCTCACCCCTCTGAGGCCAGAATTTTTTGGGGGAGGGGGGAATCTCAGGAAAGCCTGTGGAGAGGCTCAAGGCAAGATTGCCAGGGACCCAGGTCACCAAAGTGGCTGGGACAGGCTGAGCGTTTCCCATGCCCCCTCCCCTTCTTCTCTGGTGGCTTTTGATCACCCTAGTCACTCCAAAGAGAACCAGTTAGAGTTCAGAGGCTGGGGAGACTCTGTGCGGAGGCCTGCCAGCTCTGGTTCACGCCACTTTAGCAAAGGCCCTTCTCCTGTCTGGACCTCAGTTTCCTCAACTGCAAAAAGATCTCCAGGTTCCACCTTAGCACTAAAATGTCAAGGCTCTTCCTGCTCTTTTGTTTTCCCCTCTTTTGTTGTTCTGTTGTGTTCTTTTTTTTAATTTCTATTCAATCAGTGTTATCGACGATGTGCCAAATCTACCAGGCATAGGAGGTGTGGGGCAGCCTGAGTCACTGTCCCAGGGACGCTCCAGCCCCACGCTGCCTGCCTGGTTAGCAGCGGGCACAGCGAGCATGCCCCAGAGGGCTGCCTCTGCCCCTCTCATTCTCCCCTGAGGTGAGGGTGCACGCAGAGGAGAGTGTTGGGGGGCCCTCTTTTCATGCTCCTCTCTTTGCAGGAGTCCTGCCTCCCTCGAGAGCCCTTTCTAACTCTGACTCTGGAAGTCTGTCCCTGACCTCCTACAAATGCGAACGAGTAACTCAGTCATGTTGGCCCTCCATTTCTGTATCTGAAAAATACCCCTCACCTTTCCCTACCTTAGTTACACAGATAAGTAAAGTGCTAGATAAAGACACTTTGAGAGCTCAAAACATAAAACTATTCTTTAACAAACATTTTATGGGCCAGCCCCGTGGTGTAGTGGTTAAATTCTATGCGCTCTGCTTTGGCAGCCTGGGTTCATGGGTTTGGTTCCTGGGAGCAGACATACACCACGCTGTGTACCAGCCATGCTGTGGTGGTGATCCATGTACAAAATAGAGGAAGATTGGCACAGATGTTAGCTCAGGGCTAATCTTCCTCAGCAAAAAAAAAAAAAGCAACTTTTTAGTAAAGAAAGCCTTTCTGTAAATATGACCAATGTTATTAATTTGAGGCAAAGACTCCCATTTCTTCATGAAAGTAACTACTGAGGTATGGGAAAGTTAACTGTCTTGCCTGAGTTCTTGTACAGTAAATTAGAATTAAAAAACCAGATCTCATGGGCTGGCCCTGTGGCATAGTGGTTAAGTTTGGCTTCAGTGGCCTGGGTTCGGTTTCTGGGTGCAGACCTCCACTGCTCATCAGTGGCCATGCACTGGTGGCAACTCACATACAAAATAGAGGAAGATTGGCACAGATGTTAGCTCAGGGCCAATCTTCCTCAGAAAAAAAACAAAGAAAATCCAGATCTTCCTACTCCTTATACTATGTTCCATCAGCATAAAAACTGTCTTCCCCTACTGTTATTTTTTCAGATGTGGTAATGGTCTTGGGGCGATGTTTTTTTAATCTTTAAGAGATGCATAGTGAAATATTTGCAGATGATGAAATTTTGTGATGTTTGGAATTTGCTTCAGAATAATTCAGAAACAAGTGTGTGAGATATTGATGAAACAAAACTGGCCATGGGGGCCAGCCCAGTGATTAAGTTCACATGTTCTGCTTCCACAGCCCGGGTTTCACTGGTTCAGATCCTGGGTACGGACACGGCACCACTCAGCAAGCCATGCTGTGGTAGGTGTCCCACATATAAAGCAGAGGAAGATGGGCATGGATGTTAGCTCAGGGCCAGTCTTCCTCAGCAAAAAAAAAAAAAAAAAAAAAAAAAAGAGGAGGATTGGCAGCAGATGTTAGCTCAGGGCTAATCTTCCTCAAAAAAACAAAAAACTGGCCATGAATTAAAAACTGTTGAAGCTAGAGGATGAGTACATGAGGGCTCATCACGTGATTTTCTCTACTGTTGTCCAGGTACAATACAGTGAAAATTACTCTTCTCCTCTTCTCCCACACGCTAACCTCTGATGTCTTTTCTCCCAACGATGCAGATCACATTTTCTGACGATATCTAACCTCAGTCTGTAATCCAAGCACCAGGGTCATCAGAAGACAAGGGAGGGACAGTGAGAAGGGAAAGCAGTCGAGAATTGCAAAGCGGCAACAAGAGACAGTTTCCTGACAGGTGACACCCATCACTTCCCGAGTCCTGGGAGAATAAAAACAATCATGGGTCCATGAGGGTTCATGATACTGCTTTCTCTAGAAGGCAGTGTCCAGGATGGCCAGGCCTTCCCCCGGGGCACTGAGCACAGGTTGAGGCCTAACCTGTACTTTGGGAACTCTCTGGAGGGAGTAGAAACTGTCCCTCCTGGGACCTCACCCCCAGGACTGAATGGCATGGCTTTTGCCAGTCCTCCATGTCAAAGTTGTGCAGCCAGACTCCAAGGAAAGCCAACCCACAGTCTGCCTGCTCACCCCAGAAAAGCTTCAAAGACACCAGAGAAAACAGCACAAGAAGTACATTGGCTTTTTTTCCATCTGCAGAAACTGTGGACCCCAATTAGAAAAGAAGAGAAGGGTAGAAAAAAATGAAATATGGTGAAACTCTTGCCAGTCAAAAGGTGAGGTTGCTCAGCTGCCAGAGCTGAGCAAAGGCACCAGGTTCTAGAGGCCGGTGCCGTGGCACAGTGGTTAAGTTCGGCATGTTCCGCTTCGGTGGCCCAGGTTCACAGGTTCAGATCCCGGACATGGACCTACACCACTTGTCAGCCATGCTGTGGCAGCAACCCACATATAAAGTGAGGGAACATTGGCACAGATGTTAGCTCAGATCTAAATCTTCCTCAAGTCAAAATAGAGGAAGACTGGCAACAGATGTTAGCTCAGGGCTAATCTTCTTCAGCCAAAAAAAAAAAAAAAAAAAGCACCAGGTTCTAAACCAAGGGGAAGGAATGACAGAGATGCCTACCCAACAAGTTTCAACTTTCTTAGGGAAAAACATCATAAGTAAAGATAAATGACAGAGGCCAGCCTTATGGCCCAGTGGTTAAGTTCATGGGCTCCGCTTCGGCAGCCCTGGGTTTCATCGGCTCAGATCCTGGGCGAGGACATGGCACCGTTCATAAGGCCATGTTGAGGTGGCATCCCATACGCCACAACTAGAAGGATCCACAACTAAAAATATATACAACTATTTGCCAGGGGGCTTTGGGGAGGAAAGGGAGAAAATTTTTTTTTAAATCTTAAAAAAAAAGAAAGATAAATGAGAAACAACAGATTTATAGGTAAAAATATGTTACAATTAATATCCTTAGTGGAGAGTTCTCACAAACCAATGAAAAGAGTCTGTCATCCCAATAGGAAAATGGACAATGGGTATGAACAGGTAATTCAAGAAATAAAAATAGTCAGTGACATGGGAAAAGATGCCCAATCTCATTAGAAACCAAAGAAATGCAATATAAAATAGCAATGAGTAGTATTTTGGGTCAGTCATATTGACAAAGATCTTAAAAGTGGACAATATTCAAAGTTTATGAGGATGTCATTACCAGGAAATAGTTGCCTAAATTGGTTCCAAGTTTGTGGGGGGCAATTTTTTTTTTTTTTTTGAGGAAGATTAGCTCTGAGCTAACATCTGCTGCCAGTCCTCCTCTTTTTGCTGAGGAAGCTTGGTCCTGAGCTAACATCCGTGCGCATCTTCCTCTACTTTCTATGTGGGGCGCCTGCCACAGCATGGCACGCCAAGTGGTGCCATGTCTGCACCTGGGATCCGAATTGGTGAACCCTGGGCCGCCCAAGTGGAACGTGTGCACTGGCCGGCCCCATGTGGAGGGCAATTTGATAATATATAACTAAATTTAAAATGTATATAGCTTTTTGACCCAGTAGTTCCACTTCTGGGAATTTATTCCAAGGAAAGTATTGGACAAATGCGTAAGGATGTATATACAAGGCTGTGCAGTTGTTAGAGCATAAGTGGAAACTTTCACCCAAATGTCCTCCATGGGGACTGGCCAATCTCCGCTCTCTAATAGGTCCTTCCCATCGACATATAAACTGATGAAGTCTGTCCTGTCTGTGATGCCCTCAACTCCACGCCCCCAAGGCAAGCGCTGTTGCCTTCACTTCACAGCCAGACTTCTGGAAGGGTCCTGAGTGCTTTTCTCCACTTGCTGACGTCTCAGCTTACATCTGTGTCACCTCTGCCACACCAGTGTGCTCACCAAGATCGTTCCTGAGGGTCCCACGTTGTAAAATCCAACGGACTCTGCTTGTGGCCTCTTGGAAGCATTTACCACTGTCACCCACTTTCTCCTCTTTTGAAACACGCTCCTGCCCTGGCGGCTATGACGCTGTACCCCCCTGGTTTTCCTCCTTCCATCCCGCTCCCTCTTCTCAGTCTCCTCCACCGGCTCTCCTTCCTCGGCCCAGCGCCTCCCTCGCCTCTGTCCCAGGATCTCCTCACTCTCCTCAAGGTAGCTCAGCTGCCCCTCGGCTTCACTCACCACCTGGGGGCCAACGGCCCGCAGACCGATGTCTCTAACCAGAGCTCTCTCTCCAGCTGCTGACTGGACAACCTTGTCTGTGTCACACAAGTTTCTCAGACTCAGAATAACCAAACCTAAACCCATCGTATCCCCTCTGCCCGCTCCTGCACGCCCTCTTCCTTCTCTCTGCTAAGACACCACTGTTTGCCCAAGACAAAAAGTGACTCTGGGTTTCTCTCTGCCTCGCCCTGTTCAGTCATTACTGAGGCCTATCTGTCTATTTCACTTGACTCCACGGCCGTTATCCCCACGCAGACTGCCAGCCATTCCCACAATGCAGCCACAGGGGTCTTTCACGGCAAGTCCGATCATGCCCCTTTGATACTTAAAACTGATTCAGATTTCTCACTTCTGTTAGAAAAAAGTCCAAATCTCTGACCAGGGCTTATCGACCAGGGCTGACCTGTATGTTTAGCTTCTTTCTTATCACTCCCCATCTCGCCTGCAGCCCTCCCGACTGAACATCCGGTCCCAGAGTGGATAGCCTCCCCGTCTAAGGTCTTAGGTTTCCCCCTCTTCTCACACCCACGCAGTACTGTGTGCCTTCCTTCACCGCCTCCCTGCTTTCCAGAAGACGTCCCATTACACAAACCCGCAGGGACAACTCCCAGAACAGGTGCCAAGGCCGACCTATCACCAGAGGAACAAGAAAAGCCCACGTTTCTCCAGAAGTCCACTGATAGAGCAAAAAAGAGAGACAGGGAGAAAGAAAAACAAGTTCCCCTCACTAGCAGAAGGTCTAGGGTCACTTTTGCTCACAAGTGGGAAAACCAAGGCCCATGGGTCATCAGGGCCCCTGGCTCCCCTCTCCTGGAGGTGGTCTGCAGAGATGGGCCCAAGGCGTGGGAAGGGGTTCTACCATCACCGATGACATCTCTGATTCATTGTGTGATGCAAAGAGCTTTCAAGAGGGCTAGTGAGGCTGTCTTACTCAGACTTCTGGCTAATGAGCCATCACTGGGCCGTGACTTACCTGCTGGCAAATAGTGAGGAGGTTATTATTGAATTTTGACAAGATTTGGGGGAACTCTAATAAACGAGAACTCCAAAACTCACACTGGCAGTGCCCTGACCTGGGATCTAGCCGAGCCTTCCACACCCCTTCCTACCCCATCTGTAAGAAACCCATGCCTGCTCTTCCTGAACCTCTGAAGCCCAGCAAACCATGTCTTCTGAAAGAGTCACGGCTTTGCTGGCCCCTAAAGCTTCCCCAGGCCCCAGAACGACATTCCTGGGACTTTACCAGCATTACAGAAACAGGCTCTAGCTTGTCCTCACTCCTGGAACCTCTCCTCTTGCTAGGATTTGCTTAAGCAGGTCAGTTATGTCTGACCATTGGAACTGGAAACAAATGTCTTGGCTGAACGCAGGAGATCAGAACTTATCGCTCCTAGGCATTCAAGAGGCCCTCAGTATGTTGGCTCGGCTCCTCCAGCCAGAAATCCCAGAACCAGATTGTCCTCGACCTTCGGAATCCATTTATGGAGTTCACAGACTACAACTCAGAAAAGCACAGAACCCACCACGACCAGTAATGACCAATGCCTACGGTGAGTGTCCTGAGGATGTAGGAGGGTGTGTTCCTGCGCCTCAGGGAAGGGTCGGGAGCCCAGTGACTTTCCCACGGCGTCTCTCAGATTGGGGTACTTCTGAGGGTACACAAGCCCACAGGATAAACTCGGCCCATGCCCAGGGTTCCCACTCACTCTCCTCCGCCGTCATGATCCTCCAGCGGAAGAGTTTAAGAGGCAGTGAGTCCAAAGGAATAATGTTGCTTGCTAACCCCAAAAGGCTATTCCCACCTGCCCTTTCAGGTCCCCATGGTTCCCACAGAACTACAGTTACGACCCACGAGTAACACGCAGACTCAGTTCCCAACATGTCTCCAGAATTGCCTGAGTGGGTCACGACTGCCCCATGTGCTTATTCATTCTTAAGTATCTACGAGCCAAGCATGATATTAAGTATTGGAAGTAGAGGCTGATGTCCTGAAATATGCTCAGATGTAAGTCCCCAGGCCTTTTCTGTTGCTAAAGGCTAATGGAAGGACATCAGGACCAAGTTAAGCTTCCGGGAGCCCTGCACGGAGACCCTGGAGGGTGGAGGGCTCCCCCTTGACATACCCAAGGACCAGCAGCCATGATACCTGAGTTTCAATTCTGAAGAAAGATTCCTTTCCAGATATTTCAACACTGACTGTGAAGTAGATATTACCCCCGTCTTGAGGCTTGGAGAGATTAAGCAACTAGCCCAGGGTCACACAGATAAGCGACAAAGCTGGCTTTGGAACGTGGCCGTGTCTGGCCCTAAAGCCCACACATGCTCTTTCCTTCATGCCTCAAAGCCCTTGAGAAAAAAATATTCCTAATGCCAACCCCGGCGCTCAGAAATCTTGTGCAAAATAGGGCTTCTCTCAAGGGCTTGGGGTGGGGTGGGGGATGGGAGGGTGACTGCTACTGGGTGTGGGGTTTCCCTTTTCCAATGAAAACATTTCAGAACCAGATAGAGGTGATGGTTGCATGACATTGTGAATGTACTAATGCCGCCGAATGTACACTTTAAAGTGGTTAAACCCATGTTATGTGAAAGTTACCTCAATTAAAAAAAGACAAGAAAAGGGCTTCTCCTTTAAGAGGCTGGGCACTGTGACTCCCCCATCCCTGTTTTGTCACCTCACTGACACCCTTGCTAAGACAGTGAGGGATTTAGCTTCCTAGCTCAGATAAACCTCCCACGAATTTTCCTCAGTAATCTGTCTCTAGAAGTTTCCGACATGTCGATCTGAAACCTTGGGCCCTACATCTTGGTGCTCTGGAGTATCTGATGTGGCCCAGTCTTATATTGCTGGCCCTACCATTGCCACAGAAAGAAAAGGAGGAAAAAAAATATGACTCCTCCGGAGAAATTTGTTTTAAAATATGATATCATGTATGCTCACATGAATGAATTCCATGGATTTTGGTTAGAACAAGTCAGAAAACCAGATTCCATTGTGTTATTACAGAGGCAAAGGGTCACAGGTCAAAAGTCAGCTTATGGGTTTCAGTTCAGGGAAGAATTCCAAGGCCGAAACACAGGAGACCCCTCAGACAGAGATTACTTCAAATGCCATTTTCTGTTGTTTCACCTAAGGAGTATTATTCCAGGTTAAAAAAACAAAAAACTTTCATGAGCCATGATATCTCCTTCCTGGGAACACACATCTTCTTGCTGGAATGAGCAGAGGACCATGGACAGCAAAAGTCATGTGCCAGGGGGCCCAGCCCAGGCCTCTGAGCAGGAGCGGGGAACCAACACTGTCATGTACCACATAGCGATGTTTCAGTCAACAGCGGATCGCATATACGATAGTGGTCCCATAAGATTAGTACCATATAGCCTAGGTGTGTAGTACGCTATACCATTTAAGTTTGTGTAAGGACACTCTATAACGTTCACACACAGTGAAATCACCTGACACGTTTCTCAGAATGTACCCCTGTTATTAAGTGATGTATGACTGTACCGCCATTCCCTTCCTGAACTCATCGTGACCAAGTCACAAAAAAGCCCAATGTCTAGTAGCAGAGAGAACTGCAGGAGAATCTCCTTGAGCCTCTGGCTGAGCAGTGACCAGAACATACAGGAAAGAAAACCACTTGAGGCCAGGAAAACAACCACCAGAATGCTGTAAGCCAAACGGTTCCGGGAGCACACACAGGGCTGGGAATGGTTCCAGCAGTCGGAGCAGAAAGACCCCACAACCCAGGGCAGCACTTTAGCAGAGGGAATGAATGAGCTCTCGATTAAAGGCTGCTAGGGACCCACCCCAACAAAGCTTAAAAGCAAGTCTCAAAACTGATTCCAAGTAACTAACTGCATGCCAGAACAAAGCCCAACACTACTTAAATAAATACAGCAAAATCCCTCACCTATCAATGTAAACTTGACAATTTCTGGAAGCCAATTAGATAGTACTATGCATGTAAAGAAGCAGCAAACATGTCTCAAATCTTGGGGGAAAACCAATGATTAGAGCAGACCCAGTACTGACAGAAACAATGGAATTGGCAGACAAGGATATAAAAAAGCTATCATAAATATGCTCCATATATTCAAGAAGCTATCAAAGATATAAGGAAGACCCAAATGGAACTTCTACAGATGAAAACTACAATATCTAAGATGAAAACTACCCTGGGTGGGATGAACAACTGATTAGACACTGCAGAAGAGAAGATCAGGGAACTTGAAGCCATGCCAATAGAAACTGTCCAAAATAAAGAAGGGAGAGGAAAAAGACTGACAAAAAATGAGCATCAGTGACCCGTGGAAATATCTAGCACTCTCACATATGTGTTATTTGGGGTTACAGAAGGAGAGGAGGGATGGGGGGAGGACAGAAAAAGAAGCTGAAGAAAGAATCGAGGCCACTTTCCTGATGAAAACTGTGCAATCACTTTCCATGTGCCTTAAAATAGTGCCCATGTTCCTTACACGGACCTCCAAGATTCCACCCACCTCCCCTGCTTCCCTCTCTAGTTTCAGCACCACCACTCTCTCTTTCACCCAGTTCGCTCCAGCCATGCTGGACTTCTCAGCTCTGCAAACTTCCTCCTTGCCTGGGCTTTCCCACATGCTGTTCCTTCTACCTGGAAGGCTCCTCCCACTCCCAGCTGAGTCCTACCCTTTCTTTGGGTCTTAGCTAAACATCACTTCCTCAGAGAAACCCTCCCCGACCTCCTAACTGGACATGGTCCTCTCAGCACCCTTAGCTCCCACACTTCTCCTTGGCAGCATTTGGCACATTTGAGATGAATCAGTTATGGCCTTGCTGTCTTCTTCTTTACGTCTTGCTCATCACCACCTTCCCCATGCTCAGGGTAGCACCCGAGCCTCCAGCTGGAGAGTGTCAGAGATGTAACTTCAGTGCTTGTACTCATCTTGCTCTCAAACTATCTGTGTGGTGACAAGCCAGTCCTTGACTCGATTTCTGCCCCTTCAGCATAGAATGACTGTCTCAACTCAGTCCCTGATTGCCCCTCTAATATCTGCTGGCAAACATCCATCTCCTCCAGGAGCAAAAGGGGCCAGGAGAGCCCTTGGAGAGGGAGAGAGATGCCCATCTGTGTTAGTGAGGGCTTTCCAGAGAAATAGAACAGGATGTTTGTGTGTGTATATATATGAATGGAGTCTGGCAACTCCAAAGTCTGCAGGGTGAGCAGACTGGAGACCCACAGAACAGCCACCATTGCAGTTTAAATCCAAAGGCTGTCTACTGGCAGAATTTCCTCTTCCTTGGGGAAAGCCAGTCTTTGTTCTATCAAGGCCTTCAACTGATTGGATAAGGCCCATCCACATTATGGAGGGCAATCTGCTTTGCTCAAAGTCCATTCATTTAAATGTTAATCTAATCCAAAAAACACCCTCACAGAAACATCCAGAACAGTGTTCAACCAAATATCTGGGCACTGTGGCACAGCCAAGTTGACACACAAAAGTAATCATCACACCACCTAAGAGTCCCTCAGACATCCTCTCTGTGAAGCCCTCCCCCATCCCAACCAGTAAGTGCTCCCGAGGGCAGCTGTACATGCTCAATAAGTGTGTCCTCTCTCTCTCTTTTACTTCCTCATTCCCTGTTGTGTGTCTTCTTTCCCCCTCTAAGAAGTCTGTCCCAGGCCTGAGTGAATGACCGACTTTGGCTCTCTGTACAGGAATGGTGTGTCTTTCTCTTCCATCCTGCTGGTCTTCATCCTTGCTTGACGTTTTACAATTACTACTGGAGACAAGGTTGATTATTCTAGAAACCAGTGGGCCTTTCCTCTTTCCGCACAAAGTCTCTCTCCTGACTGGTCCATCTACACCTGGGTGGGCTTGTTGATTTGCACGTGTTGCTTTAGGATGAATGGGTAAGGAGCTAGTCTTGGGTTGTGGGAAAGCTTAAATGGCAGAGTGGAAAGGGCACTCCTCTGTGGTACCAATACTCACTTTAGCTGCCGTTCATTCAGTTTCTTTGGAGAATATTCTTCCTAGATCTTTGGCTAGGGCTAAATGGCTGGCTATCTACTGGCACGTGAATGAGGATGGAGGAAGAAGGTATGGAAGTGTGAGCAGCTGATGGGTGCAGTTGTTCAACAGATGGATTTTCATTAATACCTGACATGGCTTTCCCATCTCACTCCCACCCTCTGCCCAGACGTACCCCACTCTCTGGGATTCCACTCAGCAAGTTGGCTGTATCCTCCTGTGCTTTTGGCTGTGGTTTCCTCCACTCCATTTCATCCATCAAGGCATTTCGATCTATCTTATATCTTCCAGAAACTCATTGAAATCCCTTGTCTACTGATGGGCCATCCTGTTCTCCTCAGTATTACGAGCTTAGTTTTCTTTCTTTTTCTAATTTTAATGGAGTATCAGGAGGCAGAGAGACGAACACCCGTGCTCAGTTTGCTATACTGCAAGGCAAGTCAAGAGTAATCCTATAAAAGGATAACTTTCTTCTTTTTACAAGGTTTTGATCCCCACCAACGTCCCAAGAAAGGTACTACTTGCTGTTATGAACATTTACGCCCTTGTGTAAGCGAAGGCTGTGAGCACACCTGGTTGATAGGAATGGAGGTCTGTCTAGATGTCATACATTACATGAGGTGTTATACTCACACAACTTGTTTGCTCTGCATGGAAATCTAATGAAGGAGGTATTAAGAACCTCTGTCTTAAAGATGAGGTCATTGGGGTTTAGAGAGGTAAATCACATGTGGAAATATTCACTATTTTCATGTATTCAATAAATATTCATCAAGGGCCTTATCAATATGCCAGTCACTGTTCTGATCGCTGGGGATACGGGAGTAAGCAAGAGAAAGTCCCTACCCACCTAGAGGGAGGCAGAGATGGATGACAAACAGATAAACATGTAGTATGTCAGGTGGTGACTGCGTTACAAGGAAGAATAAAGCTGGAGAGGGGCAGGGGAAGGCCAGGAGTTGAAGTGGGGTACACTTTCATACTGGGTGGGAAGGCCTTCCAGAAAAGGTAACATTTGTGACATGAAGGAGGACAATACAAGCCTCATCCTGGATAAAAGATGACTGAAAGATGCGTCTTCTTTCAAGAAGCCATTCAGCTCGAATTAAATGGAGACTCTTTGCACCGAAAAGCCCTTTGATTATTCGGATGCTGTGCGGGTAATTCCGTGAACGGCTGACTTCCTAATCTCAGAGAACTACACTGTACGCAAAGATCCTTGATTAGCTGATGAATCAACTCGAGCAAAAGCACAAAGTAAAACTGAAGGTAAGTCTGTTCTGGTCTCTACTATCAGTTACAGCTCCCTCTATT